GCCTAATAATCATTACCATCTATCGAATAATTTAACAATAATCTCGTGTCATAAATATATCCACGAACCTTTCCTATTTTATAATTTAACCTTTCTTAATTTATTTACAAATATATCCACAAACCTTTCCTATTTTATAATGTAACCTTTCCTAATGTATTTACAAATATATCTACAATTTACATTAGTTTACAATTTATCTATCAAATTATATTCCTTATTTTATAATTCAATCCTTTTTAATTAATTTATAAATGTATCTAACCTTGTTATTTATATTTTAACATTTATTATTACCTAAATTATATGTTCCTAAAAGCCTATCTTTAAAAATTATGTTCTCCATAATATATATATATGTTTTTCTGAATGATATATATTTGGAGAAAATAAATTCTCCTCAAATATTTGCTAACACGAGCGCCTAATTATTTCGAATAACCAGTAGTTTTACCACACCGACCTGAGGTTGTAGCAAAACCATTGGGCAGTGAATACGCTCGGCAACCGGTTAATGTGCACGACAGGGGCCATTTCACGACGCCTTGATTCGAATCACGCTCAGAGGCAATACTTATTCTCGGTTTGTAAAATTTCCAGCCGTCGGCGCGGCCTGTTCCCCCGGATCGTTATTCAAGTTTCGAGGAACAGCTGTGCTACTCAAAGGGGGCCCCACGCCTCTTTTCTTATGGGGTTATGTGCTACGTACCCGGCCCGAACTGGCCTCTGGGAGAGTCGAGCCCGGAAGGCCTGTGAATCTTGCGTTGCTTTTTAAAGAACCCTGCACACACGTTCTTGTTTAACCCGTGCACCTTTCCCTCCACGATCATAACGAAGCTCGGGCTCCTCGTAACAAGCGTACGGGCATGGAAGCAACATTTTTACAACGATCGGAATAGACTCAACCAACGAGCTACAAATAATTCTCGAATTTTATTACGATCGGATAAAACAACGCTTCATAAGATTTTTGAAACGAGACTGTCGAGAAAAAATTCAACCTTTGACCGAAGGGAGAATAACGAAAATTTGAAAAAATGTAGAATATAGTAACTGGACTAAATTTTGCCACGCTTTCTGAAGGATTCTTTAAGTATGCTTCTTGCCCACCCTAAAAATAAAATTTGGTATTTGTAAAAATTATAATTTTGATTTCTTGATACTTCACTGGGAAAAAATCCGCTCGAAGCTAGGTTAGGTTAATAATAAACGATTTACTTATTCGTATGTTGTCCAACCTCGTAGGACCTCTAGTAATTATCGATTCTAATTCAGTCCAAATTTTCTAACCTGTACCTAAATATAACACACATAAAGAATGATAATTAAATCGATACAACGAAAATAAGAAGTACACGTAACTACATTGTAGACTACATAAAAGTCAATACTCACTTCATCAAGGAAATATACGTGCGTACGTATTTTCAGAAATTATAAAAATAAAAAGGCTCGAACAAGTCATTTTAACCCCTTTGGCAGTTCTAGCGTCGAACATTCAAAGACTTCCAATGCCAGAATCACTGTGTAAAAAATAATTTTAAAAAGAAAGGGGGAAAAAAAAAAGATCGAATAATTACGACGAATCCTAACCTCTACGCCTAAGCAGCGAAACGCAGGTTCTTATATCCACTGCGCTAGTTTGCACGCGCAAACGTTCGTGATGGAGTCTTGACATTCAAGGTCAGTATCATCGTGAACGCATAAGTCTCTGGCCTGAATTATTTGATGGCCATAAAACTGCATCGCGACCCTCTTTCTGCCGCTCTCGTCGTTTGCATTTTCCCCGTTCAACACGTCGCATCGTCGTCCATAGGTGCGCGACACTTGGCCGCAGTATTATGCAATCGCGTCCAAGTCAGTCAGAGAAATTCAAACGCGCTAGTAGCACGCACACGTGTCACGTTTCGACGCTGCACCGTGGATCGTCTCCATATCGCACACACCTTTCGCTATTTGCTCGAACGATTCGTCTACCTCGTCGTGGCGTACGATTTCAGAGAACGTTGGCGTTTTTCGCGGACCAGAATGTTCGTTGCTTTTGTTTAACGCGGTGATTCTCGCGTCGGCCGCCGGCGGCGCTGCGGTACCCACCGACGACCGGCACACACGCCGGAATTAACCGAAACATTTGAATCGGACGAACAGTTACATTTGTAATTCGCTAAACAGTTATATCGTACATTTGCTATTCTCGATGCACGTTAAGCACACGGAATATCGAGCGCGACGTGCGATATCGAACGATTTCATTTTTTAACGAAATATAAAGAACGAACGAAAGCATTCCGACACTGTTGAAGATACGACAATATTCAAGTGACCAATCTGCTTTCCTGGATAATCTTGAAACCGTGAATGTGATGGTGTTATGCCTCGATTCCTCTTTTTTTTTTATTTTATTGGATCGCTATAAATACACCATATTGTTCGTACATAGTAATATCGATATGAATATTTCTATCATGATTTCGGTTTTCCTATCGAAATACTTCGAGCAAATTACGAAACTATCTTTGAAGTCGAATCTAATTAATTAATTACTGTAATTAATTACAGAGTCACAAAAATATTTTAAATAAAAATTTATATACACTGAAAATTAAAAAAAAAATCCAAGCATTTAGAAAATGTATATAAATTTTCTATCCATTTAAAATTAAATTTAATAAATTATCAAATGCAACTTGGATCCAAGTTGAATATATGATAAACAACCATATTTCATGCAACGAATGCGATATAAATATATTAAAAATTCGAAACTAAAATTTGTTTAAATTTTAGGAAAAGGAATGTCGAATTAATTTTGAAGAACATAAAGGATGCAATCGTGTTGTTGGAATTTTTAATGTTTTGCTACGAAGAAATCGGTGATATCGACAACCGAGTCAATTATTCAAAACATAAAACGTTACGATGGATTTACAATGTTGAATATCGCCAAAGAAAATATGCATTTATCCGCACGAAAGGACACGCTACGCGCAAGTTCTGACGGCCTACGAGTATAATGTAACCGCTTCCTGATCTGGAACGAATAAACGCTTTGCCGCATTCCTATGGCAATTTCGCGGATTCTCCGAGCACACCACTATTTATCGGTCTTCAAGTTGTTTGCGCCAACCGAACGAAATTTTATCTCAAACATAAATTAGAATAATACTTTATTCACTTTTTGCACAAATTAACCTTATTCCCAATTCACAATTATTATAATCGCGAATAAAATGAATAACAAAGTATTTTTCACGATTATGAAAAATTCGTAAATTAACGCAAATAAATAATTAAATAAATAATAATATAATATAAATAAACCTAACGAAAACTAAATTATAATTGTTTAAATATAAAATTTATAGGAAGATATTAAGACATAGAAATATTTGAAAAACCGTTGTATAAAGCTTTTGAGGTTATGAAAATGTCGAACAAAATATAGTTATACACGACGAGGTTATAAAATGGCCGAGTTCGTCTAGACGAAGATAAAGAAAACCTCGAAAATAGTCGGCTATTGGACCAACGCGTCGACGATAAATCGCCGACCTGACGAACGAGACGAGTAACATATGGAAAGAAAATTTTGCGTTCAGGCTCAACAACCTGAAAGATTCATCGTGAAATACGCACGAGTCGAGGTTGAAAAACGCAGAGGCACTTAGTAAACTGCGTTAATCGAATGAATTAGCGAATACGTTTAAACGATACGCAGTAGAGAAAAAGAAGAAAATAACAAAGATGGCAGCGACAAGTGGCGATCTATGGAAAGAAATCGTACAGACGTTATCGTGTTGATATATTTTTCGTTAGATTTTTCTACTCACGTGTATATGCGTATTAATAACACGTGCGTGTGGAAGCATTGCATGCACTGCGACCGGCTTCGACATGTATTTTGACGAAAGGCACACGCCCCTTCGACGACTTTACTTTCGAATCTCGTCCAAGAGGTTAGAACGTATCAGGTGGTGTAAAAACTGTCGGAGCCGAGTGGATTTTTCACGCAGCTGTAGCAACACACTCGCTCTTCCCTTTTCTTATTATTATGCGTCAAAGAAACTTCTGCGAGACACAGGTAACATGAACGTAATATCCTGTGAAACTGGCGAGCACAGATGCTAGTCAAACATAACCTCTACGGAAGCACGAAATAATTATCTGTTAGCGAAGCGTGGTAAGATATTTCAAAATACCAGCCACGATAACGTCCGTACGATAAAGAAAATCGAGAGAAGATCGTATTATGGAAAACCATGCTTCGCAAATCTGAAGCCAGTGACTGGTAAAGATGATTCATCCATTTTCACGTTTCGCGAAGGCGAAAATGTGATGCCGTTATTTTTACGAATTAGAAGAAAAACCGAGACACGAGTAGAGGCAGACTGATTATTTAAATAAACTTTGCCGCAATCTGGAAGTGATTCTAGCAGGCGAATTGCCTTGTCAGTCCTCTTATTACGTAATATCATTGTCAAACCATACGGATATACTGTAATGATGTAGTCGAGCGAATTAACTCGGCGAAAAGGACACTTGTAATCGTTTTAAATTGAATCGCATTCGATTTTTCTACCAAGCGTTCGAGAGCTAAGGGGAAAAAACGTGAAGCAAATAAGCAGCTGCTAACAAGCCAACGTGGCCTGGTACACTGGGTTCTAGTATCTTTTTCTGCTATTTCTACCGATACTGTAACACTCGCGGGTTAATAATAACGTCTATGGTAATTTCCATACGCGCACGCGATAATTTTTCGGTCGTTGTAGCAACGAAATTCCATACGAAATATGGCGAGCGAATGACGATCGGGTGTCTCTTTCCTTGGCACGACATTACGACACATGTACGCACACATGACTACTTCGTGACGCGTGCAGAGCCGCGTACATATACACATACCAGCACGTATATACGCGATACAAGCTGAGAATTCTAGCCTATACATAAGGAAAAGAGATCTCTAAGACTGGGACGAAGGAAGAATACGATTTACTCACCCGATTCCTGAGGAAGTCCTCGATGGCACGTTGTGCCGAGTCGGTGAGTTTCACGAAGATCAGGGACTTGTTTTCGTGAAAATTACTGTGCGACGACAAACCATACTGGACACCTGCCACCAGCGCCGCCATTTCTCTGTCTCTCAACAGTGGGTTCTCTCTCGCACACGTCCCCCTCGTAAAAGCGCACACAGCTGACGTCCTTGTTGGTTAAACGAAGCACTTTTTTTACCTTTACTTATTACCCCGCAATACGAAACAGCGCATACTACGCGGTGAGAAAACACTTGCCGCAACGATACTTTCACTCGGAACAAATCGAGTAAAGACGGAGAGAAACAGAAAGAAAGAAAAAAAAGAAGGTAGAGAGACAAAAAGAGAGAGAGAGAGAAAGACATACAACCCCCCCCCGAAATAGAGGATTCTCTTGCACGTAGCTCTGGCACACACGCGTTTTCTTTCGTTTTTCGACGCGTATCTTTTTCACGACCTCCACCTTTGCCACTTCTTTACGCGGTCCGTTTTCCTCGTCACGCTTCGAAAGTGGTAGCACCCGCGCGTAAACCACCCTCTCACACGTTCCTGGTCCTCGTTTTCTCTCAACCGTCACATATTAGCGCACCGATACGTCTCATTTCAGATTTTCTCGCGATTGGATATGTGAAGAGAGAGCAGCGCCCGTCGTTTCGCCGTAAGGAACTACACAACTACACTTTCGAACGACCACCTGGTAGGTGGGGCTTACGAGAGAACCGTCAACCAATCCCGATTTGTACTCAGATAGCATGCGACTGTCGACCCTACCGTCCTCCTGCGGTCGCAGCCAACGATCGACTGACATTGTTCTCTTATACCGTCTGATTCTTTGGATACTAATGCTGCCATCTGCTTTCTGTTTCAATAATTCTACGCATACTAACCCTATGAGAAAATCAAATAAACTGATTCTGATATTTAATGCATTTATGACTTTAATGAATATATCCCTTACATATGTGTATATATGTTTTTATTATATATTTGAAACGCATTATATAGGATAAAAAATGATTTTTTTTTTCTTCTCTATTTATTCAGAAAATCGTATTGTAATATTTCATATGGTTCACGAAATTACTTTTGCACTTATTTTTTATTTATTTCTTTTAATTATTGATGCCGGAAAAGATTTATTTATAAGTAAAATTATAAATTGCGAAATTTATCGATATTTTTAAATTATATACTTAGTTATGTTTATTAAATTAATGAAACTTCGTAAACTGCATTTAATTAAATATGCATGTTATTTGCTTAAAATAAGTTATATTATTTATGTAGAAATAAATTATAAACGCGAAAATAATTCAACCAATTGAAAACGTACTATATAAAACTTATGTAACCGATTAGTGTGGCAGCACTAGTAGCGGTTTTAGGTTATATACTACTCATAGGACTGAAGAAGAAAGTTTTCTACAAAGTTTAAAGATGATTACTAAAATTACACCGAAAGAAGTGATTCTGTTATTACTTACTTATGACATATTTATATCTCCACTGCTGAATTACCGAGAAAATCGATTGGGTCAATTCGGCACTATGTACACGGATCATTTTCGTCAGATAGAAAGAGTAAGCAAGGATACTTTTATTGTTATAATATTTAATATTTTATTTAAAAATTAATTTACATTTATTCGTATTATTTTACTTTTTATTTTAATTATTCTTTTCTTAGTACTGCTGCAAAATTATCAGAAAGTACATAATGTAATTTTCAAAATTAAATTTTAATTTCATTGATGTTATATTTTGCAGGACGCTTTGGGAGAACTTTATAGTCCTCATGGAAACATACATGGTTGAAGCAAGTAATACAATTAAATTACAAATTAAAGATTATATATATACACACATACTAGTGTCAATTATGATGTAATAATAATAAAACATAATGTGAAATGTAGTCATTTTTAATTCATATAATGTATTTTTTTTAAATATTTAACACATCTTTGATTTGTTAAGTATGTTTGCATGCTAAATATGTAAATATATATGACTTATAAGTATGTTCGCAATATGGTAAATTAAAAAGTGAAGTTTCTTTTTGTATGTCACATAGATGATATATTTTTACATTGGTATTTATATCGTATAATCGTATAGCAATTTATGTTGTAATTCTGGGAAACATGTGACTAAAATAATGGAATGACGAATAAAAAGGAATTAGGTATTAATTAGAAGTTGAATTACATATTTAGTAGTTTAGTTTTCTTTTTATTACTGTACTTAATTGTTTAATTGGAATGTCTTTATACTGGGAAGTTCTAGAATGAATTAAATTAAATAAAATTGGTAATATTAATATTAAATTTAATTAAAAGAGGTATTCAAGTAAAATATTTTGCAGTTGTTAAATTTTGATGTTTTATTAGAGTTACGAATTACCATCCCCTGAGATAGCTCATTCCATTAAGAAAGCCATCCTTTTCTAATCTCTTAATATCTATCATTTTGTATCGCATAATTTTTGTTCCACTGTCCATTTAAGAGCACCCATTGGATATGGTAAATGTTTATTAATGAAAATTAGACAAGCTGTGCCAATGAATGAAGATCGAATGGAGATGAAATCAAATATTTTATATCAGAATGTGTCATTTGTTAATGTTACTTGGATAACTGTACCAACATTACTTGATTAAATTCTACTTTGTGGGTACATAATGATTGTATGTTACATGGCGGTTTCCTTCTCAAGAGATTAAATAAAGTATGTTACAGGTCTTTTACTTTGTATACAGAACATGTACACAGAACATACCATGGCAAATAAAATCTCATTTAGAAAAATCACGCCCCTGCAATGTACAATAAATAACGGCATCTTAAATGTTAAGCTTTATTAACATTTACAAAAGAAAAGTGGATATTCTAAGAAATGCTTCCTTTTTTTTGGCAACATTTCATTTTATGTCATTTTGGATAAACGACTGTAGAATTTCATACAGAATTGGTCAATGTATTTCCTTTAGGTAAATTGATATGCATGAAATGTATATCAAAAGGAAGTAGAAAGTATGAAAGAATAATATGATGGAAAAGAATACACAGCGTAGTGTAACTCGACGGAATATTATAACAAGATCACCGATGTACTAAAACAAGAATTTTTAATTTTAACTAATTGTGTATTTAGAAAATGTTCCATTTTTATTGATGCTTCGCGTCCCAACAAGATTATATCTATAGGTTTTGTAGACGAATTTTGCGAAAGTTACACAAAGACATGTAGTTATGTTAAAGTCGGGGTGTTGCTAATTCGCTGAAACACGAGGCAACATCAGAATGTGAATGTATAGTGCGAACGTGTGTATGTACAGGTGTTTAAACTATGTGTGTGTTGTGTGCGTATGTGTACCCACTGGTCCGTATAAAATGTGGCAAGCTATCTGCTTTGGAACTAATAAGGACAATAACAAAATTCTTTTTTAATATTAAATGATTTAAAATGGCTTTTGCTCTTGTTTCTTTTTCTTTTGTTTGAAATTATTATAAACGCTAGAAACGAATTTGGCGTTATACCCAACAACAGTCTTGAAGTTGATAGCTTGTAACATTTCACATGAACTACATGTGTGCATAATATATATAAATGTATATACATATATATTATACACACATACACACACACGCGCGCGCGCGCACACACACACGTGCACACACCGTGCAGCTGTGTATGCAATATATTTTATGTTTACACGGTTAGAATGTAATAATATTTTACATGTGAGCGTACTTTTAATGCAAAAATTATAAATTATAAAAAGATAGCCGAGTTGATAAACGGACGCGTTGTAGAACATGAAGATCTATGTAGTAATTACAGTGATAACAATAGTGATGACAGTTGCAAAGATAGAGATGATGAAAACAATAGCAACAAGCGATTAAGTGTATTAGTTTTCTGGTTTTTCTCTCGTTCCTTCCGCTTAGTACCAAACGAAAATCTAGAGGTCCCTTACTAAATTTAAGAAACAGTTGCAATCTTCATTTAATATTGAACGATCTCCAAAGTAAGAGTTGTCGATAAAATTATTTCAACGTGTATCTACTGTAGGAGAGATTAGTAAAGTCAATTTTACTTAATACGCATATATGTATTTATTTTATTCTGAAACGCATGAACTGCGCCTATAGATTTCGGTACAGTTGAACAGTAACGTATAAAAGCAATATCGATTGAAATAAAGTTACACGAATTCGGATATTATTAATCGAATATGAGTCCTCTAGATTATCGATGGTCTGTATGTAATTCGGTACAGTAATTATGGCGGTGAAACATCGACTCACATCTTAAATTTTATCTAGTAGTTCATGATAATGAAGATACTTCAATTTTACCTTTTATGTAAAATACGACGATATGGAATATGGCACAATGATTCAACGACGATAAAACTCTAGTCAACTTTCCTCGTTTGCCTTTTATTCACACACATCACCTTATACTTCATTTCAGCTATGTCAGTTGATCGATAGACACCACTGTAACAATCTTTTTCGTACTCACATTTAATTCGCATGTCTTGTATAGCAATGTCATATAATAATTCTTTTCTTCTCTGGCTTATACTATATTATGTCATGCGCATTTCCTTATTGATCGGATATTATTAATGTTTGCACACGTCGCCAAACAAAATTACCTCTTTCGTAAAAATGATTAAGAATAATTGGTTATAAACAAATGATTAAAACTAACTTCTTACATATGATTTTATTCTTTACATTATTACGAATTAATTACGATGCACATTAGCCTGTGATTGCACCTGAAAAATTTGAAAACGTCGATAATTGTTGGAAGTCCGAAAAAGGAAAAAAAAAGGAACTATTATGTATTATGCTATAATAAAAATGAAAAATATTATAAATGGTAAAACCTATTTCCTTTCTTATAAGAGCGTGAAGTAAACATGACAATAATGCATGTCGATTGATTACGATGCAATCGCTGTAGTTCCAATTTGTTCGATGACGTAGACGTATGTTTGTGATAAAGTATGGTGCGAAACGATGGTGAACTAAAATAAGGATAATAATTATCTCGGCCAAGATTATTATATGATTAATTCAATGTTAAAGAGAACAAACAAAACATGGATGCAAATCGATCGATAATATTACAAATTCGAAGAAATACCTGGCAATGCTGGCGTCGCGTGCGTCGATCGATCAAGAGAGATACCATTCTTCAAGGGCAGAATCGTAACGTAAAATCGTGCACACACGTTCAGAGCTACTGCGGTGAAAGAGACTTCAATCATAGAAATAATTCAGAAAATAAGCTCTTCGTGCGAGTGAACGAACGAAAGATAAACGTTTATTAATAAAGATCTGGGGTTTGGTATTATAGGTATTATTCTTTTTGTGTTGAATGTGCGTGTTTGACTCTGATACAATTGCTTTTAGGTTCACCTATGTATATTCGGAGGCTGCGCAACGGTGTGTCGTAATATAACTCTTTTTTTTTTCTCTTTGTTCGCTTGGTTTCGCGTTAAAAATTTTGATAACAACAATGGTACACTCTTTGCTGGGACGATGAAAATGTACTCATTACTCGTTGAGATACAATACCTAATAATCACGCAGTCATCCGCACGTACGCACAGAATTACGCGTTCCGTATATTATTATTATTTTCTTTTTGCAAATGTGTCTCTTGTTGTATGATTACAAATTTATTCCTTAATATGCTTTACTTACGAAACACAAACATTCTGCCATTATTTTTTTTGTCTTTTTTTTTTTTAATATATTTGT